TGAGAATATATTTTAATTTAAATATTTAATATTTTGTCCTTAAAACCAAATATCCCTGAATATCTGATTTGGGGGACTTCTTTTCCCTTGTCCCTTGACAGCTTCTTTCACTAGTGAATTTTACAATCTACTGGCATAGTTTTTTTTTTTTTTTTTTTGGGTGGTACAAGGGATTAAACTCCAGACCTTGCACATGCCAGGTAAGTGCTTAAACTGCCAAGCTCTATCCCTTGCCCTGACATGATTTTTTAATGTATTTAATGCTAAAACTTTATCTTGCTTCAACAAAATGTTCATTTTTTCTTATTCTGACTTCCCACAATTTGGAAGGGCTCTTAGATTTCAGCACACAGCTCTGTTTCTTGAAGGACTCCGATTCGTGTGTGGTACTGGGTTTTGAACCAGTCTTTGCAGTGATACATAGCCTCTGCCATTTTTAAAAAAAATTTGGAGTCTGGGGCCGGCGAGATGGCTCAGTAGAATAAGCGCTTGCCTGGCAAGCCCAAGTGTCTGAGTTCAATCCCCAGTTCCGCAAAAAAAAAAAAAAAAAAAAAAAAAAAATTTGGAGTCAAGGCTTAACTAAGCTGCCCGGGCTGCGGTAAAATTTATAGTCCTCTTGGGTCAGCCTGCCAGAGTGCTTGGGTTATGGGCATGTGTATCTATCCTGAGCTCCGGGTCAAGGGCTCATTGAAACAGAGATTGCTAGTCACCTCTGATAATTCTGACTCACTAAGCTTGGGGTTGTGGCTGCATTTGCATTTGCAAAGGTTTTTAGCTAAACTAGGTGTGTCAGCACATATCTGTAATCCCAGCACTCAAGAGGCTGAGGCAGGAGGCTCTTTGCAAGTTTGACACCAGCCTGGGCTACAAAGTGAGCTCAAAGCCAGCCTGAACTATACATTGAGACTCTGTCTCAGAAAGACAAAAAAAAAAAAAAAAAAATTCTTAGCGGATGCTAAAGTTTGTGTCCCCGCTCTGGATGAAATATCATGGTCTCAAGTGCTGGGAGTGATGGTTGGTGGAGAATAGTGGATGAATGTGACTGGATGCGAGAAGCCAATTACAGTGTGGATGGGGTTGGTACCTTGAATTGGTGCACTGATGGATGTAACCAATGGAGGGAGTAGGTGGGACATTTTATGTTCTGTTTTCAGAATGTTAAAGCCATGATGAATTTTAAGAATTCAAGCACAATGACTAGCAGAGAGTAGGTTTCCCAAAAAAATGGCAACCTTTGTTGTTGCTGTGGTTACTACAGTCACTGAAAGCTGAAGAGGCCTCACCACTGCCACTGGCCAGAGGTAAACTCTCACCTGCATTACTCAGCATCCACATTCCAGGGCTAGGACTACTGCACCCTGTGTGATCCAAGAGATTTAGGTAGGGACAAGGAAACATCCTGTTTAAAGATGTGGCCTCATAGGACAAACATGGGGAAGGACGAAGGGGGAAAGGAGGCCTGGTTCTAATGGTAGAGGTTCTTGCCTGATTGCAGAGTACTTTGCAAATGTCTTATAGAAATTCCAGTGAAAATTCAGACCTAGCCTTTCCCCAAACCTGTTGTATTTTTGCTTGCTACTAAGCAATTGTATACACTGCCAAACAGCAGACCAGCCACCTCTCTTTGCAGCTTCCCTAGTAGGCTGCAACTCTACCACACATGAGTACCCTGCGGCTTTTACACAAGTGGCTTTTCAGCTTTTATAATCCTGAGCTAGAGTAAGAGCGATTTTCTTTGTCAGTAGTTTGAAATCTGGGACTTAACACTGAGCTATTTTCTCACTCAACATCCCCTCTAAACTTTTAAAAGTTTGAGTTTAATTTAAACTAAGTTGTCCAGGATAGGCTGACACTTTTGATCTTCTTGCCTCTGCCTCCCAAAGTGCTAGGATTACATACCTATGCCACCAAGCTGCACAAGAACTTTGTATAAAGCAAGCCAGTATAAACATGTACCACATTATATATGTATTTCAGTAGGCCAACATGTTTGGGGCCAGGGAGATGGCTCAGTGGAATAAGTGCTTCCCTGGCAAGTGCAAGGGCCTGAGTTCAATCCCTGGTTCTGCAAAAAACAAACAAACAAACAAACAAACAACAAAAAAAAAAAACCAACATGTTTATATGTGGTGTACGTGTATACATGCCGCAACACTATAGGGACTGATATCTAATAAATAGTACTTACTAAATGTCTACATTTTTAGTATTCTTGGTGAATTTTTTTTTTTTTTTTTTTTTTTTTGTCTGTAAATGGATTCTGATTGTTTTCTGCTCATTGCTGTCATGATAAACATTTATCAGGGCCCACAGGATTGATGCCATTATTTCACTAAGGTGAATGTGAGCCCTGGTGGAAAGGGAAAAGGGGAGAGCAGGTGTCTGTAGCCCTATGCTCAGTGGAGTAGCTGCACTTGTGGGCTTGCAGAGGCTTGGGGGAATCAAGCGTAGTGCACTATCTATCAAAGAACCTTTAAGATAACCTAAGCTTGTTCTTTGATTTTGCCCACATAGCTGTGTTCACATGGACCAATCATTCATATTTTTAGATGATTATTTCTTTATCCAAAAAGGAGGACTTTGCCCGATGGGACAGGATTCCCTGGGAGCTGATGCTTCACTGTGGTAACTGATGCTGCCCCGCAGGGACTCCCAGAGGAGAGTGACAGGGATGGTGAGGAGGAAGGTGAGGGTGGTAGTGGTTCCTTTATGGGGAAAAGGAAACTTAAAAATCCCTCAGAGGAGGTTTAGAAGAAATGAGAAGGAACTCACTCTTGGTCTCATTTTCAGCTTATATAGGGAAGCTGATAAGTATGGAAGTTGGTAAGTTCAGCTTCGTTTTTGTAAATGATCAACCAAATTATTCATGTTCCAGGAGTAAGAAAGTAGGGCTGGGGAGATGGCTCAGTGGAATAAGCACTTCTCTAGCATGCTCTCAAGTCACGCCGCAACATCTCGTATGCCGTCTTCAAAAAAAAAAAAAAAAAAAAGTAAGAAAGTGACTTTGGATGGTACAATATGGGCATCAGCACTTTCTTTGAAATACTTTTTGTGTCACTTCCCCAGCTATTTATTAGGGAGCATCAGAAACAAAACCTTAAGTTTCTAGGAGTATCTGGGGTACAAAAGGCATTTAAATATCTACGCTATTGCAATATTGAGGGTACTGATATCTACAATTACCAAAATGCTGGGTAAGGTTCACGTGTGTTGTGGTTCCTACACAGAACCTGTCTTTCAAAGACTGGAAAACTCCCCCTTCCTTTTACACTCCCCCCCCGCCCCCCCCCCTTCCAGCTCTGAGGGCATGGGTACCAATTAGCTTGGCCCTGCCTCCTCTAGGACAAGGAAACTGCAGCCAAGAAAGGTCAAATGGTTTGCCCCAGGTCATCTGAGTCAAGATGAAAACACTCCTGACTGGTGCTAAAGGGTCAGCCCTTCTCCCACCCCCAGACCCACTGCCCTGCTTGCATAATGCCCTAAAGTATTTATGCAGAGAACAAGCTGCCCCTGGGTGGAAGCGGCACCCTGATCGACATATTTTTGAATTTGAAAAAGTATCCGGGGCGGAGCTACTTAGTTGCAATTCTCCAAGATCCCAGTGAAGTCACCAGGGAAGGCTACTTACTTTCGGTTGCCATTTACCTATTTGCCTATATATAATTGATCTTTTGTTTGTTTGGTTTTAAAGAGCCGGGCAAATCTTCACATCCCTACAGGGAGGGATGTGGAGGCTGAGGCTGGAAGATCGCCTTGAGTTCGAGGCCAGCCTGGATACATAGCTAGACCCTGACTGAAAAAAACAAGACACCACAACACACCACACAAAGGAAAAGCCCAAAGCGAATCTTTGCAGCGTGTAAGGGCTCTCTACCTGGGGCACCTCATCTGGTCTGTCCCTCTCCTAGCTCTTTTAACAAGGGTCAGATTCCTTGGGGGTCCTTAACTGTTTCTCAACGTGATCATTCACCAAATCAAATGTGACAAGTATTGTCATCTCCCAGGGACAGCTCTCCCTGGGTTTAAAAGAATCACTAAAGGAAAACTGCACTCCTCAGGGCGATTGCCCTCATAAAATAAACCCGTCAAGACTCTTCCACTTGCAAAAACATACCCAGGGCCCAGCGTTTAGGGCTGAGCGCTACATTTGGCCCTTGCTTGCGTCCTTTAGGCCAAGGAAGCCCTGACAGCCTGGCCCTCAAGGAGCGAAAGCCCCAGCACCGGGATGCTCAGGAGCCAAAATGTCCCGCTGCAAAGTGGATCCGAACAATGGCTCGTGCCCTAGCGGTCACACTTGTTTTGCAGCGAGATCTTGCCGGACGAAGGCAGGGTTGTAGTTCCTCGGGTCGCTCGACTTTCAGGGGCGAGGTGTGCACTGTGCCTGCACTGACTACTTCAGAAGCTTCAAAACTGACTTTCGGAAGCTTTTCGGGCCAAAACCGTGTCCTGAATGGCGTGATCGGAAACTAGTGCGAGGGGCCGCGGCGCTCTTTCAACGCGCGACTTGCTCCCCGCCCGCGGCTCATTTCCATGCCAAGAGCCGGACATCAGAGCACCTTTTGTTGCTAAACGCTTTCTTTCGCCTGGAGGGAGAGTCATGTGGAGCTGGAAGAGCTCATTCTGAAGAGGGGTCCCGGGAATTGCTCGCCCGGTCCCCCGGCGCCGCCGAGCCCCCTGTCGGCCCCGCGGGGCCCCGCCAGCACCCCGCAGTCGCCTGCCGCGGGCG